GGGAACAGCTAAGTAAGGTAGGTAGCGCACTTAGGCCGTGAGTTCAACCCTCTAACACACACACACACACACACACACACACACACACACACACAGAGTCAGTCAGCGCCCCTTCTCATTTTTATCATTTTAAAAGCAGGACACCCAAATCCCACTTGAGGTGAGCGCAAATGGGCAGGAGTGGAGGTCCTGCCTGGCTCTTCCGGTCTCGCCGGCTCGTGGCACCCCGGGGCGGCCACTTTGCCCCCCATGGCTGCGCCTACTTGAAGGTCACGATGGAGCGGCCACCGAGGCCGCCGCGTGACACAGGCGGCCTGCCGGCCAGCGGGGAGAATCCGGCCTAGCCGCAGCCACGCGCCCAGCTGGCGGGACGACCCACTACCCACAACCCCGAGAGGGGCTGAGTCCCCGAGTTAGTTGGCGCGTGGAAGCCGCACGCTCTCCGCACCCCCTGTGCCCCCCGCCCGCGCCCTCCCGCCGCCCGCCCGCGAGCCCAGCGCCTCCCCGGGGCCGCCGCTGTGCGGTGCCCGCGGGGACCTTTCCACGGTTCTGCGTGGGTCGGATGTCCTCGTTCTCGGCGCCCGGAATGAAGAGACTAGGAAGGACTTATTTATTTATTTCATAAAGGGGAAGCGTGAAGGAGCCCGCAGGGAGAGGGGGAACGGGGAGACGCTTTCCTGGGGTTCGCGGGGGGGGTGTTGATTATGGGGGAGCCCAATCCGGTATTCTCCCCACCTGGGGTAAATTGATTTCTGCACGGTTCCCGCTGGAATCTTCCCGAAGGTAATGTAAAAACCAGGAGCCGAATGTCCTTACCCCCCTGTCCCGAAAGGAAGTTGTTCGGGGGAGTTGGGGTGCGGGTCCAGCAACCAGCGAATCGCTTTCCCCTCCCCTAGAATGTGCACTTTAAAACACACACAGCTCATTGCGGGCAGGGGAAAAACAAAAAAGAATGCCCAGCACGCGGTTTGGATTGGTTAGGTCACGGACATGGGCTATTGACAAAAACAGAATCATGCCATAAAGTGTGGGTTCACTCTGCAGCCGGATTCCGAGGCCGCGAGCCGGCCTTTCTTGCTCGTCCGACAAAGAAAGAGCAATAACTCCAGCTTAAAAAAATTTGGAAAACGGTTGTCCAAAGAGAAGCCACGGGGGCCTGCTTATTTGCTTTCCGCGACGCCGACGACGCGTCCCGGTGGATCGAATACTCCGGCTTGGGCTGCGCCACGGGTGTGCGTGCGAATGGGTGTGGGGGTGAGGGTATTAAGTGTGTGAATTAACCCCGGGGGGGACCTCCCCCTGCCCGGTCCCCCGCCAGAGGAGATCGTGGCCTAGAGAGCATTGGCACAGGAACATTCGCGCTCAGCCCTCCCTTCCCCGCCTAGAAAGGGCACCGAGAGGCGGATGTGAAAGGCGAAGAAGGAAAACAAAACAAACAAACAAACAAACAAAACCTCCCCAACAATCCCGGAACTGAGCATTTTGGAGGGGTGAACAAAGAAGTAGGCAGGGTCAAAGGTCGAATGCCATGCCCACCGTCCTGGTGTAGGCGTACAGACGGCGAGGAAGAATGGGCCCGAGGTTCACTTTCGATCTTTCACCCCCTCGGGCTAGGGGCTGCGGGGGGGGGGGGCGCAGCTCGGCAGCCCGGGGCGCAGGGCCGCGCGCGCACGCCGCACCCCCCGCTAGGCCAGGCTTGGGGGGGGCCGCAGCTGCGCCTTCCCGGCTCCCGCCGGACGCGGTGGGGTTTGGGGTTGCAGGTTTGCGGGGCTGGCTGTTCGCCTGTCGCCGGAGGCGGTGGAAGGGAGGCGCCACCCCTGGGGCAGCCATCTCGCCGCGCCCAGCAGCCGCCACTCACGCTCCTTCCGCGCGATGCGGGGCGGGGCGGGGCAGGTGGCCGGCCCCGCAGCCACCTCTTTCCAAAACCCAACCCGTTTGGTTGAAATGTTCGCCGAAGCACCGCCCCCTCCCTCTGAGGCACTCCCCTGGGAACTTCATCCTGGCCTAGGGCGAGCTGGGGTGCTGTGGGGGCCCAGTGCCCCACCAGCCACGGGGAGGGCGCCCTGCGCGCGGCTGGCCACAGCGGTGCGCCCCATGCCCCACCGAGTGCCACCCGCTGGGGCCCCGAGACTTGTCCCTGGGAGTTGGAGCCGGGTTTGTGAGCGACGCGCGCCACGGTCCGATTTGGAGAGGGGGGCAGCCGGCCGGCCGCCCGCAGAAAGGAGCAATTCATCCTCTTCCTGAGGGGCATCATTTGGGTGGCAGCTGTTACCGGCGAGAAAAGCTGGGCGTTCGCGACCCTGGCGCTGCCCTTTAACCTAAGTCAACCTAAGCCCGGGGCAGGCAGTCTGGGGCCGGGCGCACGGTTCCCCGGCGGGCCCTTGGGGGGACTCCCGGCACCGTGCCCTAGCAGCTTGAAGGTTTGGTCCGTCAAATCTGCCCCCCGCAGGGGGGCCACCAGGCCCATCTGCAAGTCTCATCTAGGAGGGCTGCCCGGCGCCCTTGCCCCGGGGGACTAATCGTGGGTGCGGGAAGGTATGAAGAGTCGAGAGACTTGGAAGCAGAGGACTAGGTGGGTGACCAGTTTTTGCAGGGGAGGGGTATTCCAGACTTGTTCTAGAACACAGCCGCCAAGTTGCAAAAAACCAGACATGAGATTTCATCCCAGAAGTTTCTTTCCCATCCTCTGTCTTCTTTCTTTGCACTTCTTTCTTTGCACAACTCCTGGCAAGGTTGTCATTATTATTATTTTATTATTACCACCACCACTATTACAAACCATCGGTGCCATTTTCTGGTATTCGATCTCACTGGTTCCCCTCAACCTTTGCTGTCCAACGTGGAAGGTGAAGCTAGAGGCCTGGAGTCCCCAGTCCACGACCCCCAGTCCCTCGGCCCGGAGCGACCCCTCCCGCGTAGCCCGACGGCGTGGTTTGACCTCCCCCCGGGGTGACGTCGGGGGAGGGGAGGGCGCTGTCACTTTCTCAGGGAAGAGTCCGTCCAGGCGGTGGAGGCGCCCGGGCGCTGTGTCCTCTAGCGGTAAACTCCCGCAGTTCACCTAAAGATCTGGTCAAGAGCGGATTGACACTCCAATCTGACTCCTCGGAGGGGAGGGAGGGGGTGTCTCCTGAACGTAATCCGGGGTTTCGCAGACGCCCGGTGCGTAACGAGGCCCGGAGACGCGGGCGCAGCCGCCCGCCCGCGCCGACAGCTGAAGGCTCCCGCGCGGCAGATGGTCTTTGAGCACAGATTTGCATTCATTGTCTTCAAATCTGTTTTCGCGCTGGCGTTCTAGATTTCAGCCGCCGATCTACACACAGATCAGAATACAAAAGGAAACGCAAGAAAATAACACCCAGCCGCGAGGGTTGCTGTGGTGGGGTGTGTGTTTTAATAGGCACTTGGAGCGGCCCCCGCCGTAGTTACAAAGCCGTCTAGGGTTTCAGCTGTTGGGCTGAGCCGCCGCCGCCGCCGCTTCCCCGGGCACCAGCCTGCGACCACCGCGCGCGCGCCCCGGAAAAAGTCCCTGGGACGGCCCTGGGGTCCCCCCCCGCTCCCCGGGGCCTGGAGGGGGGGGAATCGGTGAGCATGCCCTCCCCCCGGGGGGATGGCGCCCCAGGCCCCCTCGAGCCCCGCGGGCGATGCGCTGTCAGCATGCTTCCCCCCGCCCCCCCCCCCCCCGCGCACGGTGACACCCGGCCCCCGAGCGCGCGCGCGCGCGGCGAGCCCGCCCGGTCCATTTGAACAACACTTTGGGATCCCTCCTATCCACACCCCACTCCCGAAGATCCCCTTCTTTAACAACTTGCGAGCCGCACGGATAACCTGGGCATCGGGCGCGAGGCTCCGGGGAAGGGTGCTCGAGGGAGGGGTGCTGGGGGGGGGGTACTGTCCGTTCTAATAAACCCCAGAGCGTAAGCGTGGCCGCCCTGCCGCACACCGGCTCGAGCCCCGGGATCGAAGATGCCGCCCCGCAGCCCCCAAAATCCTCCACCTAGACGCGAACCCGCGGAGGAGGCTTGCCGGGCAGCTCATCCCCCGGACCCTCCGTCGCGGAGGCCAAGTTTGGGGAGACACCCCTCCCTCTCCCCCCGTCCCACGCACCGCCGGAGCGCACCGGGTTCGGACCAGGACTCTGGCGCCCGCAGCTCTGCGTCCCCTTTCACCTCCCGGACCCGCGGCCTCGCCGAGCGTGGCGCGCGCCGCGGGCGGACGTCGGCCCGGGCGCCGGCCAATCCCGAGCGCCCATGCAAATGAGGCGCGTTAACGGACCCGCGGCTCCGCCTCCTGCGGCCGGGGCCGTAGTAACCATTCATGGGGGCCCGCGCGCGGCGGCAGCCCGGCTCCGCGGCGCTCGCAAGCCACCGCCTCCTCGCGGCTCCGGGTCTTCCTTTTCCTTTTACAACCGATCCTGCTGGGGATTTTTCCCCCCTCTTCTCCTTCCTTTTCCTAAATTGGAACGGTGGGGAGGAGCGGGGAGGGGGAGCAGGGGGGGGGAAGGAAGGGGTGGGGAGGGGGAACGATTAGGCGGCGATCAATCTCCTCCCGTTTCTCCCGGCACAGGTGATGCTTCTAAACCGTGGCTACTTTCTGGCGGTCGCCGTGCGGCGGGGAGGATGCGAGCGCGCTAGGCGCCACGGCCTGCGGCGGCGCGTCTGAACTCGCGCGGGAGGCGCACCAAACTTGGACCGCAGCACCGCGCCTGGCGCGTGCAGTCAGGCGCCGCTTTGCTGTCCTCCTCTTCCTCCTCCTCCTCCTCCTCCGCCTCCGCCTCCTTTTTAAATTTTTTTTCTTTCTTCCATTTTTAAAAAACATTTTTTTTCTTTCTTGCACGCGAGATCCAAACTTGGGCACTTGATTCCCTTTCTCGGATTGCTTTTTGGAGAAGACGGTTTTCCTGGGCGCCGTTGGAGATTCAAGGCAGGCCGGGTGTGGTGGTGAACTCATTGATTATTATTATTATTATTATTATTATTATTACTTTTTAATTTTTTCCGAAGAAGGCGAGAGGAAAAAAAAAAAGATCAGACTTTTTAAATGTTTGGGATTCAAGATACTTTAGGAAGAGGCCCGGCTCTGAAGGAGAAAGCTCTGGGCGCCGAGATGGATTCGGTCAGGTCCTGGGTCCGGAACGTCGGGGTCGTGGACGCCAATGTGGCCGCGCAGAGGTAACCGGCTCGCCGCGCCAACGGGATCGGTTCAGAATCTCGGGTCCCCGCCGCCCCTGTCCGTCCTCCCCTCCTTACCCCCCCCCCCGTCCCCGGCACCCCTTCTCCTCCCGGCCCCCCACCGCGCCCCCTTTCCCCTTCCGAGGTCCGGGCCGCTCGCGCGCGCGCGAGGGCTTCTCCCCGGGACGGGGAGGTCGCTGCGGTGCGGGGACTCATCCTTCACCAGCATCGGAGTCTGCCCCGCGTCTCCCACTTGTGTGGGACCCCAAAACAAACATCAACCCACGCATCGAAATTAAGTAGCGCCGGGGCTCTCGCAGCCCTGACCGTCCCCGCGACACCCGGCCGGGCTCTCCGGGCGGCGCGAGGCCGTCCGAACCGGCAGCGGCGTCCCTGGCACTGGCCGCGGGCGAGCGCCGCTCCTCCCGCACCTTCCCGCACCTTCCCGCACCTTCCCGCCGGGTTCCCTGACGCCGGGAGCCCAGCTGCCAGATGGCGGCGGCGAGAGGAGCGGCGAGAGGCCGGAGCAGCTGCCGGGAAGACGAGGCCGGGCGGGGGCCAGGCGGGAGGACCCGGAGTGGAAGAGCGAGCGAGGGAGCGAGCGCAGTCCGGACGCTCGGAGGCGGGGGCGACGCGGAGAAAGCCGCGGGAGTCGCGGAGGAAGAGGGCGGCGGAGAGCGGCCACCGCGGCCCCGGCCTCCGCCTGGGCGCGTCCCCAAAATTGACTTGGCCTCGGAGCGCGCGGGGTGCACGGCTCGCACACGCTCGCCCGGGGTGGCCGCCGCCCCGCGGACCCCGCCAGGCCCTCCCCCGCCTTCTCCCGCACTTCGGGCCCCGGGCTGGCGGCCCTGCCGTCCCTGCCGGCTGGAGGCAGCCCTCCGACCACCGGGAGGCCCTGAACTTCTTCCTCGGCCCCCACGGCCATGCGGCCCTCCGCCCCCCGCCCCTCCAGCCTCCAAATCACGCCGGGAAACGCCGCCTCCTCCGGGGTCCCGGGTGCAGCGAAGTGGCCGCCACCCTGGGAGGAGAAGGGTGACGGGGCGGGCGGCGGGGCCGGCGCGCGGGGTCCCCGCGGCGGATGGACGGCGCCGGGAGGCCGGGACTCCACGGAGGTCGGAGGATCGAGGCTCCGCGCCGCCGCCACCACGGGGAACGAAGGCAGAGCCTCCCTTCCCCGCCTTCCCTCCCGACGTCTGAAGAGTTGGAAAAGTTAGGGCATCCAGTGTGGCATCCTCCGCAGCGTGGAAGTGCGGGTAGCCCTCCCCCCTCCTCCCTTCCCCCCCCCCCCCCCGCACGCCTCGGGGTCAGTGAGATCTTGGTGGCCGGTTCGAGACTAGCTCAGACAGCTGGGCCGGGAGGCGTGGTGCGCCCATCCCGGATGCTCGCGTGCTCCCAGATTCGGGCGCCGCGGGGAAACTCGGCCTGAGCCCCGAGCGCGCCCCGCGGCTCTGGCCGACATGCCCCGCGGAGGCACCACCGGGCGTCTCCACGTCCCGCCGATCTGGGGCTCCCGAAGGTCCCCAAAGCCGCGCCCCCCGCCGCGGGCTGTGCTCCGCGGTGAGGGTCGCTCCGCGAGCGGAACCCCGGACTTTCCGTCACGCTGGGCTTTCCCACGCCGTCCCCGTGGGCGGCCGCTCCGGGCAGGTAACCCTCCTCCCCCGCGCGAAGAGGGGAAGGACTGGGTTTTCAAATGCCAAGGAGAGTGCTTGTTCCGTGGATGCCGAGTCCCAGCTCTGAGTTCTGACACGCGGAGGAAGGGGGCCGTGGGACCCCCAAGGACTTGGGTCTGCGCCGGGGCGGGGCGGGGGGCTGCGGTGCCGCGTGCGGAGCCGGGACCTCGGTGGTCCGTGGCGGGACAGGGCCCGCCGGGCGCGCACCGGCCCAGGGCGGGCCCGGCGTTCGCCAGTGCTCCCCGCGCGTCCTCTTAGGAGCCCGGCGGTGGGTTTGGGTGTATGTAGGCGAGTTCTTGAACTCAGATCCAGGACATGGGCCTTTGGGTTATTTCTGCCCAAGGCCAGCGCTCCTCCCGTGGTTAGTTGGAGATCAGAGTCTCCCCCGGTGACTTTCCGGCCAGGCCTGACCTCCGACTGTGATCCTCAGATCTCAGCCTCCACCGTGGGTTTCCAGGCCTGCGCCGCTTCTCAAGATGGCCTGATTAAAGTCCTGAAAGTTTCCGGGCGCCTGGGATGTGGACCCCTCCCCCCTTTTCTCTTTTCTTTTTTAACGTGGTGTCTTTTCTCTCTGTGCCCGACACCCCTCCTGTCCTCCCCACGCAGCGGGGTGGCCCTGTCCCGGGCCCACTTCGAGAAGCAGCCTCCGTCCAACTTAAGGAAATCCAACTTTTTCCATTTCGTGCTGGCGCTGTACGACCGGCAGGGGCAGCCGGTGGAGATCGAGCGCACGGCCTTCGTGGACTTCGTGGAGAACGACAAAGTAAGCGGACCCCGGTGCCCCGCCTCGGGCCGACCACCGGGGAGTCCGCCTGTCACGCGAGACACTTCCCCGCGCGCGCAGAACTCGAGGCCCCTCGCCCTCCACCTTCGCCCCGCGCGGCCCCGGTCACCCCAGGCCCTGGCGGGAGCGCTGGTGCCCGGGCCTTGGGTAGGCGGTGGGGGTCGTGAGCGGAAGGACCACGAGATCTTGGTTAAAAAGTGCACCCGGGCGGACCCTGTCCTGCTCCCCAGGCTGCCCGGCCGGCGGGCCCGGGGTGGGTTGATTCGAGCAAGGGCCGAGGCCTGCCCTGTCCCGCCTGCCCCATCCGGCCTGCCCTAGCTTGGGTTTGGGGATGGACAGCGTATTTAGTCTTCAGTGAAACCTTGTCGATGGAAACCACGCGCCCTTCATCGGGCGGGTCTCCCCGGCTTTGGACTGGCCACTTCCTCAGGGCCGCGACCAATTCGGCTGCGGGTCTCCGGGCCGCGGTCCCCGCTGTACTCCTCCTCCCCATCTGCTCCCAGCCGGACCTTCCGCATGACAGGCCCTTTCTCTCTCCTTTCCTTTCCTTTCCTTTCCTTTCCTTTCCTTTCCTTTCCTTTCCTTTCCTTTCCTTTCCTTTCCTTTCCTTTCCTTTCCTTCCTTTCCTTCCTTCCTTCCTTCCTTCCTTCCTTCCTTCCTTCCTTCCTTCCTTCCTTCCTTCCTTCCTTCCTTCCTTCCTCTGTCTCTCTCCGTCTCCCTCCCCCTCTCTCTTTCTCTCTTTCTCTCTCTCTTTCTTTCTCCCAGAGAAGCCTGGGGGGGTTCTAGGGTCAGACACAGCCAGATGGGTGGAGTGGAACTTCTTAAAGACTGGTGGGTGCTCTGTCTGTCTGTCTGTCTGTCTGTCTGTCTGTTTGTCTGTCTGTCTGTCTGTCTGTCTGTCTGTCTGCCTGTCTGCCTGCCTGCTTCTCAGGGCCAGGGGAAGGCACTTCTGAGCGTCTTTCAATCTTTAAGAATCTCAGTAGTTGTGCCAGAAGGTTTCCATTCAACAAGTCAGATTATGAGTACCATGCATCTTGATCAGAGTCATCCCTTCCTACATTTCCCACCCCCCCCTCCATCTTTCCCAACCCTGTACCTATCCAGAGGAAATTTTTAAGGGAGACAGGAGGAGCGCTGGGGGTTTGGCAGGCCCTGGCCAGTGGTGGGCATTAGATCCTGCCCTTTGACCTGTGTTGGGACTGGGGTGAATCAAGGTGGCCGGGAGGCACTGTGACAGGGCAGTACTGTCTCCTGCTTTTTTTTCTTTTTTTTTGGGTCAGGTCTTGGAGCCTGAACTCTGGGCCTGGGCGCTGTCCTTCAGCTCTTCAGCTCAAGGCTAGCGCTCTACCACTTGAGCCACAGCGCCACTTCTGGCTTTTTTCTTTTTGCTGATGTGGTGCTGAGGAATCAAACCCAGGGCCTCAGGCATGCAAGGCAAGCACTCTACCACTGAGCCACCTTCCCAGCCCTCTCCTGCTTTTTTTCATGGGGAGGGGGCGTTGCTGAAAAACAGTTGAAAGATTGTCTTGTTTCAGGAGCAGGGGAATGAGAAGACCAACAATGGCACCCACTACAAGTTACAGCTCCTGTACAGCAATGGTGAGTATCTGCGCCTGGAGCCCGTGAAGGACGGAGCCAGGAGGGGGTGGTGGTGGGAGGTTTGGGGTTGGAGCTGGGGACGAAGTTCTCTGCTTCAGAACAGCCCAGCCTTGTCTCTGGCAGCATGGACTGGCTGCGCTGGGGGGGGGGGGCTGCAGGGGTTTGGATGCCAGAGGAACCCCCAGCCCTTGACTCTGTCCTTCCTGCAGGTGTTAGAACGGAGCAGGACCTCTATGTGAGGCTCATTGACTCGGTCACCAAGCAGGTAAGCCAGGCAGGCCACTCCTGCTCTTCCTCCTCCTCCTCCTCCTCCTAGAACTCGGTCCTCCTGTCCATTTATCCTAGCCCTCTCCCTGCATGACCTTCTTGGTCAGTTTGCACACTACCCTATATCAGCCTAAACCCTGTCCAAGCCTCTCTCTCCAATTGTCTCCAATTGTTGTTTTAATGAGGGGATAAGGGATGGAGCAAAGGGATGTAGAAAGCAAATAATTACTGGGAGATTTGCCTCCTCCCCAATATTCCTTTTCACAAAGATCTGAGGGGGGCAAACTTCTTTATTACTGAGCTTCAGTTCATGACTCAAGCTTCTGCTCCCCGAATTCCTAGAGGGAGCAGGCGGTGGGGAGGGAGACGATCTTGTCTTTGCCCTAAAGTACTTTCTTTGTGCCTCCGCGTCTTCCCACCCGGCAGCCCATAGCTTACGAGGGACAAAATAAGAATCCTGAGATGTGCCGAGTTCTCCTGACTCACGAAGTCATGTGCAGGTAAGAGACACCCTCTCCTCGGGCTTGGTTGGAGAGCCAGGCAGGCCAGCCTCACCTTCTTCTTCAGAACATAGCTCTTAGGATTTGGAAACTAAACTCCAGAAAGATCCACGGTTCCTGGCATGGCTGGAGTTTGCTCTGCTGGGTGGAAAGCCGGGGCTGTCTGTGGTTTTGGGGTTCATATCTGGGTTTCCTCCCCCCCAATCCCCTTACACTTACCACAGCTGGGGGTGGGTGAAAGCTGGGTTCCTTCCCTGCCCACTCAGGCACCCACTTGTGGAGCTGAGGATAGACCCAAAGACCCGGAAGCAGAGACTGAGGGTTGAGAGACCTGTTTCCTGGGCACTTTCCCCGCGCCTAGGCCTGGCTGTCTCTGGATGAGGTGAATTCTTTTCAGCTCTGAAGGTGCCCACTCCAATGACTTCACAAGCTGGTGCTGGCGCTAATGCTTTGTTTTTAAAATGGGGGTGGAGTAGGGCCTTGTTTCCCCGGTTGGAAGGAACCTCTGGGTAGAAAGCTCAATCCTGGTTCCCACCTGTGAATGAGGTGCAGCGGTGGGGGAAAGGCTGGCATGCTGTAAGTTCTGGGTCCACAGCATTAGCTGGAGTCTTGGGCTCCCCACTGCAAGAGGCCCAGGCTGTTAGCCTCTTTGCTCTCCTCAGCCTTTGCCCTCTACCTTCTAGAAAGCTTGAACCCTGGGCATTGGCCTTTTCCTTCTGCTTGAGTAGAACGAAAGTTTCAGAAATTAGAAGAAATTCATCTACACACTCGTTGAACAGAAGGTTTTTGGATGTCTACTCTGTGCCCAGTATGGGGCCGGAGGCTTGGAGACCATGGGGTCAGTGGGAAGAGGGTGGTTTTGTACTAAGAATGTGACATCTATTCTATAAGCGCGTTTTTTCCCCTCCCTACAGTCCGATTAGAGGGAAAGTCTCAGACCTTGCTCCACCAATTGTTTCCCAAGGACAGGATTGCTAGTTTGGGATAATTGCAGGCCATCTAATTTAGTCCTGAGTATTTTATGGGGGCTCCCTTAAGCCCTTATGTCCCTCCTCAACTCAGGAAGAAATCATAGCAACCAGACATGTTTGTTTAGATTTTTGAACGAGTATTGGGAGGTGGAGGGGGAGGAACACCACATCAAACCGCAAACTTCAGCTGGGCCAGATCTTGACGGAGGGAGATCCAGGCTGTCTAACTACAGGAGCCTGCGGAGCTGCATGGTGAGCCCCGGTGCTCCTTTAACTCAGGGCCCTGATAGATTTGTTCAGAAAGAAAATACTGTTCCAAGATGCACTTGCGGGTAATAGCTAGATTAAATAATCAGAAGGCTTCGATTTGGTTGGCTAGTCAGAAGGGAAGGTTTAAAAGAAAATCCTCTCTACACTGTTTAAATGTCTTTGTTTTGGAGAAAGAACCTTTGCAAAAGAAAACAAAACCCCAAACCAGCCCATTATCTAATGAATCTTTCCGAACACTTGAAATAATACTTGCACGCTCCATCCAGCTGCAGTGAGGCTGACATTTTTTATTTTTTAAGCTCAAGCAAATCCTCCTCATTTTATGCTGTTTAAGTAGCAGCATCAATTTTTAAAGCCTCTAGTTTAGTCTGCATTAGTAACACAATATAAAAATTTAATGTACTGTAACTTTGCTGTATCGGAGGGCTGAGAAAATGCTCTGCTCTTTTCTTCCCAAACTAGACTTTGAAACACATATTAATTATGGGCACATAAATGATCCATTGGATGGGTACTGTCTGCAGTTTTCCAAATAAGTGTGTGTGTGTGTGTGTTGGGAGGTGAGGCATGTGTAGGCAAATATTGACTGCCTCTGAAAGGGAATTTCTCATTCAGTCTGTCAGTTAGAGGGGCTGAGGCTTCAGGAAAGGGAAAAGTTTCTTCTTCCACATTTTCAGACTCGGTTGTCGCAGTGAGGGTGCATGTGCATCGAAGAACATCCTTTGTCAGTGGTGACTGCACATACTTACTTTCGCCTGGTGCATACTGGGATGTTTCTGGGAGTGGTTTTATGTTCGGTAGCCTTTAGGAAAAGGCTCGTCCATACACTGGTGGTTAGCTTTGAGGGCTGGGGAGACGAAAGCAAAGGGACAAGAAATAAGGCTGTGGAGGTAGAACTTTTTCTCCCTCTCCCGGATGGCCTCTGCCTTTCCCTGCTCCCTGCCTGAGTTCATTTTGCCAATTATGTTGCTGCCAGCTACCCCTGTGCCCCCAGTGCTCAGAGGGTTAAAAGGTATTATAATTTGAACAGAAGTCTTCTCAAGGCTACAGCTGGCTAATAACAGAGTTGTATTGAGCGCGAGCAAACCTCACAGCTGTGACTTTTTGCCACAAGGCGCAGGCTAGACAGGGTCCTAATCAGAGGGACCAGCCGGGCAGTGGGGCCAGTGTCTTTATCGGCCAGATGGTGTGAATTTAGACACTTTTGTTATGCAATCGCAGGGAGGAGTTGGGGAGAAGAAAACAAAACAAAAGCCACCATGCTGTGCGCTTATTTGAGTTTGAAATTAGAGACAGATTTTTGAAAGTTGAGGGTTGAATTTTAAAAACGATTTTGGAAGAGGAGAGGGCTACATGAATTCATCTTGAGCCAGACTTTGGCTGACTGGACACCCCAAGTCCAAATCTAGGGCTTTTATTTTATTTTATTTATGATTATTTTTCTTTCCTAGTTATCTTTTATCTCCTTTTAGCCTTTCTGAAAGATCCAGGTAAGGTTTAGGGTTGTGATAAAAATGTCTTGTATGTTCCCACCTTTCACGCTTCCCCTCCCCCCCCCCCAACTTGTCTTATTCTTTCTCTTTTCCTCTTCAAAGACTCCATGTGGAGACAGGAAAAGAGGCCTGGACTCAAATCTACAGTGTTTCAAGTAGAAGGTTCACCCAATAAGGAGGAGAATAAAATAAACCAAACTAAGCCAGACAGTGAGGCAGAGGCATGGCTTTTCTCTTTACTCATTACTGTAAGGAGCACCCCCAGCTGAGCCCCTGGGGTAGTTAGAAATACAAGTATTAACCTACCACCAAGTTCACTTCCCTCTTCTTTTGTTTGTTTGTTTATTATCTATTTATTTTGCAATCATTATGAGTGAAAAAAAAAAGCAAAACAAAACTCTTCTCAGGAAATCCAGACTTGGAGACTTGGCTGTTTATAAAATAACCCTAAGAGCCTTTCTACTACAGTAGTGAACCTGAAGTTGTCTATTCAGGCTTTGTCTGTGCAGCAGGGAGAGCAGAATGGAGTTAGTTATGTGAGTGATCAGAGACAGGTTCTGGAGTATCACCTGTCCACACGGTCCGGGAGGTGTGCTGTTAGCATGGAGACTGGATGTCACTTAAGCATCGAATTAAGAACAACTAACACATATTAATGAGACCTTCGCTTTAAAAGAAAAAGAAAAGTAATTTTCTCTGATTAGTTTACAGACCCAGAGAAATTGAAAAAAGGGTGAAAACAATCAGGTCCTATTACTAGTATTTTTTAACTACTTTTACTATTGTAGTTTGATCGCCAAGTGGATAGATACTCACTTGTATCTCTTCTGGGCTGGGTACGAACATGAGAGATTCTATTTAAATGTGTAACCGTTGGAAGGCAAAGGATTGGGTTCTAAAGTTTCTTTTGCATCTCCTTCCCTTCCCTGAGTGATCCAGTCGCATTGTGCTGGCACCAGGCTTATGCTGAGGTCTGTTTTTCTTTTCCTCCAGAGGAAATCCCTGTGGAAAGCAGCTGAATTCAGCTGAGCAATTTGACAAACCTACTCAGTCTCCTCAGAATCATTCCTCTCTAAACGAAACAGATTGGCGCATTGTGACGGTGTAATTAAATCGTACCCCCCTGGCACACATATTTAGGGTTCAGTTGGTGAGTGGGTGATGTAAAGGAGTCGAGTGTGGAGGTCTTTAGGCACCTTCCACTGACGAGTCTTTTGAATTGTGTCCACAATGCGGTTTGTCTCAGAGGCTTATGTAGAAGTTAGATGTAAGCAGTAGTGGAGACACAGGCGAGGTGGGTGGGGGGGGGGACTAGAGAGAGAAGGTTTGGGGAGGTAGGAGGGTCACTGGCCAGCTCTCCTATTGGTGCCAATTTTGGGATAGATTGAATTTTTTTCTTTTTGTTGGACATGGGGCCTGAGCTCTGGGCCTGCGCGCTGTCCCTCAGCTCTTCAGCTCAAGGCTAGCGCTCTACCACTTGAGCCACTTCCGGCTTTTTCTGCTTATGTGGTGCTGAGGAATTGAACCCAGGGCCTCATGCATGCAAGGCAAGCACTCTACCACTGAGCCACCTTCCCAGCCCCATAGATTGAAAATTTAGAAGTTCAGACCTAGTATAATTGTAAAGGCCAAGTATGAGTTCAGAAAGTCCCAGTGGTAAAGGCTGCTGTTTAGGAAAGTCGAGAGAATTCTTTTGTTGTTGTTGTTGTTACATTCTACTAATTTGATTAAATTTGTGGAAGCTTCATTGTACCCATTTGATGAAAATGTCCAAGTGTGTCTCAAGTGTATTTTACTTTCGGCGGGGAGGTGGGGGGGGTGTATTGGAGAAATGGTTCACTGGTTAATGGACACATCTCTGCGGGAGAGAGATGGACTGGCAAAGTTTTAAAATATTAATTTATGTTTAATTCTGTGGAGGATCAGAGGGTGAATGGACTGCAGAGAGTAGGGCTCTGACTGGGCGGGGACATGGCTGCCTTCCCAGGCTCCCTGACCCCAGGGCCTTTGCATAGGATGCCCTTGGCATCCCACAGCCTTGTCACTGAAGCCTACCAGGGCTCTAGCCACAGTGGAACCCAACATTTCCATTCTGTGTAAGCTCAAAGGGGTTAAAGAGATTTTCCTACCTTCTCGCAGCTGGTTAGAGGCAGGCTAGATGCCAGGGCCCCAGACGCTGTTTAGCGGTGTCTCAATGGCAGTTCACCAGTGCTGAAGTTGGAGACCCTGCCGTGGGAAAGGCAGCCCTGGCTGTTAACGTTGATTAGACTCTTCTCCAACTGAGTGGATGGTCATGATCCCCTTAAAAGCCACGTCAAGGCCATCGTCTGAGTTGACTCCAGACACGCTCAACGAGCCGAGAGGCCTTCAGAAGGCTGTAGCTCTGACAAGCAGCATTGGACTGCTCTGTCTGTCTGTCTGTCTGTCTGTCTGCCTGCCTGCCTGCCTGCCTGCCTGCCTGCCTGCCTGCCTGCCTGTCTGCCTGTCTGCCTGTCTGTCTGTCTGTCTGTCTGTCTGTCTGCCTGTCTGCCTGCCTGCCTGCCTGCCTGCCTGCCTGCCTGCCTGTCTGCCTGTCTGTCTGTCTGCCTGTCTCTGTCTTTCTGTCTGTCTGTTGGTCTTTTCTTCTGAGTACTTCCTTTCTGTTGTACTTGCATTGGGGGCTCCTTGTATCTCTTTCACTCAGCGAATCCCTCTGCATTTATCCAGCTGTCTGGGTATCAGCCCTTTGTTAAAGGGAAGTTCAGGGATGTAGAGTTCTCAGAAGTGAGACTTGTATGTGGTCCAGTCCCATTTCACTTCCGGCCTTGGTGATGATTGTTGAAGCTGGTATTCCCTCCCTCCCTCCCTCCCTCCCTTCTTTCCTTCCTTCCTTCCTTCCTTACAACACACACCATAGTTCTGATCTTCTTCCTTTGCCTTCGGGATGAGGGAATGAATGAATGTCTCTGAAGGACATTAAATTCTCCAAAGAAAGACGTTATATAAATGAGATCTGTGACTGCTCCCTGCCCTCCATAGAACACACTTTTCTTCTACCTTCTTTAAATATTTATTGAGGTACAGAGACGTAGAATATACAATCACAAAGTAAACGAACACCAGCCTGGAAATGACGTTGTAGCCTTAAGATCCAACCAGCTGTGATTTAGTTATCAGCATGGATTTGGGGGAGTTGTGCATTGAAGAGAATTACCTCATTGGTGAGCCATAGAGTGAGAATTTGGACGAGTATGTTTTGGCATCAGGTTCAGATTAAAAAACAAACAAGCAAACATATAGCCACACATTTTTTCCTTCAAGTAGCTTCTAGTTGGAGGCTACTTGGACATATTAATTTTTTTGAGTTTTTTTTTTAATGTATGCTCATTGTATTTTCTTTTTTCTAACAAAATTCTTTTACTCTTTGGCTTCCCTTACGCTGCAGTCGGTGTTGCGAAAAGAAAAGCTGCGGAAACCGAAATGAGACCCCCTCCGACCCGGTTATCATCGACAGGTAGGGGAAACCTGTGGTTTCAAAATCTTTTTTTTTGTTTTGTTTTGTTTCTTTCCTTCACGAAGCTCCGCTGAGGACTGCTCCCCGGGGGCTGTGATGTAATCTTGTTTTCTTCAAGGCTACTCAGCTACTTGGGCAAGGTTGGCCTGTCTTGGAGCAAAGTCAGGACCTTGCTTTCAGAACACACATCTCTAAATGGAGGAAGGATTCTTTTCCAGGTGCACGCACGTTAGCTCAGAAGGCGTGTGTGTTAGGAGTGAGGGGCGGAGGCTGGCTCCTTCCCGGGCAGGGTGCGGCTCTGTTAGTTCCGTGGGAGCCACGCACCCCAAGTTCACTGCCTGTGGCTGCTGGGCTTGAAGCCTGTCGGCTCTGATTACCACTCGGAGCCTGTGACAAGGTTGTTCTTGCATCCAGTGACGTTTCTCCCCGCCACAGTGGACCGCATTCTGGATGCTATGTTGTAGTCTTTGGGACAAGATGCTAGTTTGCTGACATGTGATTTAGGCATCTTGCAGCTGTTTTGTGTGTGTGTGTGTACATGTGCGCGTGCGCGCACGCGCATATGATTGGAAACAGAACATACAGACCAACGAAGAAATACCAAATTAACTCCCAGCAATCATGTAATTTTTAAGAAACCCCAAATTCCCACCCCTAATTTTTTCTTTTTCGTTAAAAAACGGAGTAATTCCCCATTGCTTCTTTCTTTGGGTTTTCATGTTTCTAGCCAGGTCCTGAAATGGATTGGAGAGACCGCAGTCTCCAAAGTTGTTATTCCAGTATTCCCAGGAATTCTCAGCTGGGAGAGCCCAACCTCTGGCATCCTTCCCAGAAAGCCAGCTTGGTTTCCTTGTGCAGAGTAAGAGCGGCAAAGTCAGAGTAGCGAGTAGCGGTAGATGTAAGGATCGAGGAGGCTGCAGTTCCAGGCCCGTCTTTGCCCCTGACCTGGGGCACAGCGTGTTTTTAGCTTCTCTGGTGTGGTGATGGTGGAAATGTCCGTGGTGTTCACGGAGATACCTGGAAGGGGGTGGTAGGCAAGTGGAAAATGTCCGCTGGATGCCTACGGCGCCTCTGCCATTTTATAGAGCTGTTTGGGGTTTCTCTGGTATTTCTGAAAGTGCAGACAAGTTAAATATACAGCGTTGTAAGGACTCTGCGGGATCATTCGTCTTCTGCATTTTAGAGATGAAAACACTGAAGTGCGGAGTGGTGACATGGCTTGTGCAATGCGTGGGGGCGGGGCAGGTGCTAGAGCTGGTGCTTTCTCCCCTCGCTCTCCCAGCATGCTCTCTGTCCCAACTGCTGTGTCAGTGACCTGGGCCCCCTTGTTTCTGGGATCCCTTGGGATCTTCCGGGGTGGGGGGCGGAGTGGAGCGTGTGATCACGAGCAGCTGAGATGCAGCTCCCGACGTTTCCAGCTTGCACGCTGCGTGCACTCATCTTCAGCTCCTGGTCCCCACTCACTTCCCACTCCCCTTCCAGGAAGGCCTCAGACTCCCGATGGTGAGTCTCCTTGTAATACACACCCGTCACCCCCCTGTAGCAACATGTGCTCATGTACAAGCGCTGACCTGCCGGCATGTGCACGCGTGTGTGCACGCGCACACACCCACACCCACCCACCCTCCACTGACTCCATACAGACAAAGTTAGATCTGTTCAGCTTCTTTTCCTTAGCAAGACATGTTACCTGCTCGGGAGAAAGTAGCATTTCTTGTCTTTGGATCTGATCTCTGTTGCTTGGTGCTAGAATGCCTTAAATTCTGAGGCTTGTACCATGGCTGCCTTTTAGGGAGTTTGATGAGATGGTGGCATTATTATTATTATTATTATTTTTCCTGTTCTCTGCGCAATAATACAGCCCAATGGTATCATTGGGTCATGTGAAATGTGACATCAACATATGGAAACATGCATGCTGGATCTCACATATTGGCCAGTGTCAGGTTTTGAGAGTACTTACTTTATCCTGAACACATGCGTGTGTGCCTGTTGTTTAACTATATTATTCACTCATCAGAACGTTGGCTTATGGATTCTCGGTGGCTTTGGGGTGTGCCTTAGCCTTCTTGCCTTCCTCTTGGAAAGCCGAAGGGCTTGAAGTCAGGTTTCTGTGGACTTGGGAGACCAGGGTCTGGTCGAGTTGTGTCTCTGGCGGGTCCTTGGGTTCCATGTGTGCCAGCGTGGAGGCCTCGTGTGTCCTCACCATGCACCAAATGGGTGCAAAGCGGCCTGTCTCGGATTCCTCCGACTGCCTACGGAAGGCTCTTCCTTGCCCGGTTGGACCAGCTAATGGTGTCCGTCCTTCTCTCCACCCCTCCCAGAAGCGGGTAATTTACACGGTCCCTCGTGGAGTCTCTCCATAGCAGGGGCTCTGGCTTGAGGGAGCTTGCTCGCTCCTCTGGAATGGCACAGGTTGGAGAGGAAGGAAACCCAGGGGCAGTTTCTGAACTTCTTACCCCTAAGGACCCCTTCATTTCTGCCTTAGTGAACGCAGGCAGTTTTGCTTTATAGCTTCGCGTTCCACATCGCAAGTGAGTCCGCTGCAGCTGTGAGCTCCTTCCTTACTAATCAAAGACCTGTAATAGAATAAAAACAGTAAAAACAAACAGACCTCCTCTCAGGTATGTCTTTGCTGTGTCTCAGTGGCCAGTTGAGAGCCAGCATTACCACTCCTGAGGCTCCAGCCCACAACACCGGGCTTCCCGAGAGCCAGCACCGCGCCTGCACAGGCTGCTGGGAAGATGAAAAACAGCTTTTGCTGTCTTGTGGTTCCTTAATTGAAAACCACCGGTTTACCATGGGGGCTCCATCATCAGTTACTTAGAGATACATTTCCCAAAACTTAGTCCCAGATTTGCAGGTCCTGCCTACTCGACACGGCTAAATTGTTCCCTGTTTGGATCTCTTGTGTTCTTGAATAACCATGGCCCTGCTCCTAAAGTCAGGCCAACACCAGCTCCACAGCACCTGCTAGTGGGCCCAGAATCCTCCACAGTATCGCCATTGCCATCACTGTCACCTTCCTCCTCCTCCTCTCCCTTTTCCTCCACCTCCCTCCTCCTCCTCCTCCTCCTCCTCTTCTTTCTCCTCTTCCTCCTTTTCTTTCTCCTATTCCTCCTCCTCCTCTTCTTTCTCCTCTTCCTCCTTTTCTTTCTCCTATTCCTCCTCCTCCTCTTCTTTCTCCTCTTCCTCCTCCTCCTTCCCTCCTTCTTTTCTCTCCTTCCTTCCTTCCTTCCTTCCTTCCTTCCTTCCTTCCTTCCTTCCTTCCTTCCTTCCTTCCTTCCTTCCTTCCTCCCTCCCTCCCTCCCTTCTTCCCTCCTTCCCGCTCTGCCTCTTTCTCTCCCTTTTATCTCTTTTTGTCTCCTTCCCTCCCTCCCCCCCCTTCTCTCTTTCTGTAGTGTAAAAATCCAGAGTCTCAATCTGGAAAACCACAAAACAAAACACAGTGAATCCAGGTGCTGTTGGCTCATGCCTATAATGCTCGCTGGTCAGGAGGCTGAAATCTTGAGGATAGAGGTTTGACGCTGGATGTGGCAGAAAGGTCCACGAGACTCTTCAGTTTCTCAACAAGACACCTAAAGTGGAGCTGTAGCTGCAGCATGTTGCCTGCTAGCCTTGAGCAGCATAGTGAAGTGACAGTGAGGCCCTGGGTTCAAGCCCAGGATTGGCACCCAAACAAACAAACACCGTGCCCACATTGAAATGTAAACTCTCATCTTTGCCAAGATCTTGTCTATGAAGGCTTATGTGGTAAACAGAAGAAGACGGCAGTGACTTCCTCTTGTGGTTTCAGAGGGTGCTCTAACCAGCTCTCCTTGTCAGGGCCGGATTCCTTCAAACTCGGCTTTTATCTGGTCGCTTCTTCCTGTATGATACCAAAATATTGTCCATGACTTCCTGGGGCTCCATGGTGCCCCGCAGGAAAGGGATTCTAGGGTTAGTCCCACTGGTGTGGGAGATAAAAGATGTTTCCCCATGCTGAATCCTCCCCGGCAGGTCCCAAGCACATGGCTTAGGGGATTTTTGTCTTTTGTGTCTCTGTTTGGCTATTTTCTATGAAAGGGCAGGTCCAGCCTGTGCCTCACGTGCTCTGCTTCCGAATCTGTTGTTCTGGGTCATTTTTCTCCTATGTTTTGTCTGGTTTGTCCCAGGGGAACCATTTTCAGGGTGAATATGGTTTTGCTTATTTTCTTTTTCAACACTCCAAGCAAACTGCAGAATGACCATTTCTCAAAAAGAAGCTGGGGTTGAACCATCCATACGAGCGGTGGTGGGCAGTGCAGTTCTGCATTTTCCTCTTTTAAGGCCTCGTGGTAAAATACACAGAATGTGGAATTTGCCGCATTTACCCTGTGTAAATTTGCACACACCTTATTGGGCCACGTCACCAGCACCCATCCGTAGAATGCTTTCTGCCATACAAAACTAGAACCTTGTACCCATTGCTGCATAAGACTTGCCATTTCTCCTTACACAGCCTCTGTCCCTACCATTCAACTTTCTGCCTCTGTGAACCGCATGTAAGTGGAACCATACAATCATTACTCAGCGTGTTGCTCTCTGTATGTCAGAATTTCCTTCCTTTTTAAGGCTGAATTGTATTTCATTGTAGATATTGACATCTATCTCTCTTTCTATCCATTTAGTTATGGAAACTAGGTTTAATTGGCGCTTATTGTATACTAGGCATTGGGTTAAGCAATTGGTGCAAATTAAATAATTAATTTTATCAACTACAGTTGATTGGGAAAAAAAGCTCAGTGTTATGCAAGGAAAAGCATCCATCTTGAGGAGTTAGGCAAAGTGGGCCAAAGTCACAGGGCCAGTTTTGGTGGTGAAATTGGAATTTAGTGGACTGGTACAAGTCACAGAAAGGCGTATTTTGTATTTTGGTATACGGCAAGGACAAACTTGCCTGCACTCAGAGCTGTTGTAGGTCCTGCTGAGTGAGAGCTACAGGGACTTGGGGAAACACGGAGCTGCTGGCCCCGAAGTGT